ACATGCCCCACGTGGCTTTTGTAGCACCGGAAAGGCCGGCTCTCTTCGTGCTGCGCGGCAAGCCTCTTTTCGAGTACACCGTGCCCGATCTACGATTGGGCCTGGCGATTTTCTCGCGAGAGGCTTACATTTCCGAGAGACCGAAACATTCGTCGGAATTGCAGAGAAAAGGTGCCCGTACCTGATGATTTTGAAAACCGTTGCTGGGGCCTGGTCGTAGAGACGACAAAGCGCCTGAGTTTTTCCACAGAGCTCCGGCCCTTGCAGAAGAAACACTCCTCCAGTGTTGGCAGTGGCAAGCAGCTCCTGAAAGGCTATTTACTGAACGGAATCTAGACATATTTTCATGAACCTGCTCACATTCAGCCTTGAGTCCACTTCGTTGCGCACATACCACGGCCGTCTGGAACGTTCCGCATGAAAGCCTGAAATGTTACGCGGTAAGGGTGGAGTCCTGTTGAGGAAAAAGTTGTACCACTCACGAATGTGGGCGTCGCTCTCGTCTGTTGCGATCCCCTCCGGTGAACATGGCGAGCTCGGCACGCATGGGTGAAGCAGGACCAGGTGGGTTTTGAGTCGCTCCAATATCTGAATACAGTATCAGCTAGTGTAATACACAAACAATTTTGTTTGCGGATTCGGAAGAATTTTCAGTACGACTGTTGCCGTTCAAACGTAATTAGAAAAGAAATTGAGAACGGCCAGAGGCGAAAATCTTCTGATAAGAAGGGGACAGCAGATAGCCCGAGAATAAACCCACGTAGAGGTGAGCGTCCGAGCTTGTGCTATAATATTATAGCTCTGAAATGAGCGTGTACGAAATCTCACCCCGAGTATATCGATTGATTCCCGAAAACATGGCAAGAGTATGTGGTCCGAAATTGTACTCCAACTAACTGCATATTACCACCATGGGATTTACCACTATGGGATTTACCACCATGGGATTTATCACCATGGGATTTATTACGTGAAGAGTACGTGGTCCAAAATTGCTACTTTCAAGCTTAACTAGGTATTCATTTCACCATTATGGAGATCTTCGCCCACACACCACTCCTGTGGTAGTGGCAAGGAAAGGGTATGCGAATTAGAATCGAGATGGTCGTGATCCACCTTGTGGTCAGACGCACATCCGGTCGGGAAACTCGAAATTTGAAATTACGAGCAGGGTCTGTAAGCACACACAATTTTTACTGACTGACGCAGTGTTTCAGACTATGGCGCTCATGTTCCTCATCCCATGTGATAGCGTCCCCCTCCACCTTGAACAGCCCTTCACCTTAACGACAGTAACAATAAAAATCTGTGAATGCGTATTACCTGCCGCTGCAGAGCGTCTCGGTACTTGTCGGCGTCGCGAGAGGTGAGGAACCCGCCAATGTCTCCGTTTTCCGGAGCGAAGAAAGATGTGTGCGAAGACGAGTTTGCTGTCGACTTTCTCGGAGATTTTGGTTTTTCAGCGCCGCGATCTTCTCGGCGATTTCGGGCCGCTTCTCGCAGTACGTCGCATTTGATACCAGTTTCTGGACTTACACCTGTAAGCAGCTATTTAAGAATATGTGGGGTAGCTCGGTTCTCTAATGGTGTCCGGCTCGGGTCCAGAGGTTCAAAACACTGCGAGATGGTGCTTGTGAACGCGCGTTACGCAATCCCAATCTGAATAAACTGTGACCCCCCCATTCGACTCTACTGGTCTTCACTCACCGTCAAACTTCCGCAGTACCACCGTACAGCGACAGTTGCGCTCCAATGCGACAGCAGCAATCTTGTGCAGAGAGGACCAGAAAAACCGGCGCTGTCGGTCGACGGTCAGCTGGCTGCCATCGAACGCCTGAAGAGTCCGGAATAAGGGCTGATATGAGAAGAAACGTATGCCAAAAATGGGAAAAGAGCTTGGTCAACGGAACTACCTCCGAACAAACTGCTTGAACGAGCAAGACCACTGACAAGAAACCCTTGGATTTGGAAGTACAGATTTGGATTCCACGACTGCGAGTTACACAAGAAACAGACGGGACCTGCGATAATCGAAAACAGGGTCGCCTCACTGATCATTTTACCCATTCACCTCCGTTCCATACCAAGGCGGCACTCTTTCCTCCACCCATCGGGTGAGGAGGCGCATATCGCAGCTTACCTTCACCAATCAATGCGCTCTACACTTTGGCCCCTTTCTGCAGCCACTTTGGAGCAGTTTCGCACCGCTGTTCTCATCCTTCCAAGTATGCGTATTCAACCGGTACTCTGGCCTTGCTTCGCTACTTTCGTCCAACGAACGTAGTGTTGATCGAGGAGCCTTCAAATCTGAAAACAGACGCGAGCACTGATAGAACATTTTTTAAGCGATGGATATCTATTAAAACACTTCCTGGAACTCACCGGCTCTTTGCTCGAATACTGCTGCTCGAATCGTTTCGAACTCGCCTTTCGGAATCCTGACAGGGGGTCCAACTGTGCCATACTTGTCTCCAAGAACGCACTGAAAGCGATGTATCGCTTAAATTTTTTGAACATAATTACGCCAGGATGCTGATGGCGCTCGCTTTGGCTCTTGAAGCATAGGTTGCGATCAAATTCTAGTGCGTATATGTTGCTTGAAAATTCGATGCGAGAAGTGACGAGAGGAATCGTATAGTCGGGAAAAGCGCCATGTTTACGCGACTGCGAACACAGCGCTGCGAGGCGGAAAAGCGAGGAGACATGTTCGTACGCGAGAGACATGCCCGGACGAATGCTGCGATTAGATAGGCCAGGCAGCGGGGGCGGGGAGACGTGGGGCAGGATGTCGAGCGGGCGCAGCGGTCGCAGCGGTCGCAGCGGTCAAGCGAAAGCATTGGCTCTCTTGCCGCGCACTTTCAAGTCGCCACAGTACCTTCACCTCTAACAAAGAGTCCTGCTGCGTCATTCAGTGGGAGAACTCCTCTGAGGATCTAATCGCGTCTTGTGCCTTTAAGATTTCCCGTGCCTTTAAGATGGCTTACAATCGTGTCACCGAAAAGAATAACTCACTATCAACCAACTGCTCTCCTCCAGAATGCCGTCCATCATCTGCTCGAGCATTTCTTCGTTCAATCTGCCTCGTTCGCTCAGCGGATCGATCCACTCGAGATCGAAGCCCGAATGGAACGCGAAGCTCTGCAGTTCCGGAAGCACGTCCATCCATAGCATTTGTCGTTCCAAGGTGAACTCTGTAAGAAGCCTTTCAAGCAGGACAAAATTCTGCTTAGCTATAGTCCATCCACGGTGGCTCTCCATACCCACGTCGTGGTCGCGAGCTTTCTATCGCATGTAAGGAGACCCCTTACATCCGGACAGCTGATGGAAAACGAAGTTCACAAAGGCAAAAAGGCCTAAACATCGGGTTGCTTTGAAAGCACCGCGCTACCACTTCGTAGACCACTGGAAGTCCGTGCACTAGCTTCCAATGGGGAATCCTTCGAAAATAAACATCTTTTCGAAGTGAGCCCAATAAAAATTATCTTATCGTACTTTCGCGCAGTAGTTTCTCTGTACTTCAACTTCTTCCTGACGAGGACCCGCCGATATCTCCGTGAGAATGCGTTTCGCCTTCTGCTGTGCTCAGCTCCACTAGTGAGTCAAGACCTACTGGAAGGGATGCACAAAAAGGTAGTGAATACAGGAGGGTCTCATCATGACAAACATGGCATCACGTTGGAATGATACCTCAAAACTGATTCGGACCTAGGCCTTGGGGCGATTGCTTCTTCCACTCCCCTCCCTCCCTCCCCCGCGCTCCCCTCCTCTACCCTGCCCACCCGCTGCCGGTGCAGCGCAATATGGAATGGCCAATGGTGTGCCCATGAGTGTTAGTGTTGCTGTCTGAGTTGGGGGTTATCACAATCCTCCACCATGACCATGACCCTTCAGTTCCGCAGCATATGCGGGCTCAATCTTGCTAGCAGTTGGTTTATTCCATAAGCTGCCTTACTACTTCATTTTTTGCGCAGACAGACAGCCATACACACCGACGCGCGGAGTAAGTGGTATATAATAGCGGTATATAAAATTCGATTGATAAGCTTGCCCAAAAACAACTGTATAAGTGCGCTCTAACCACACGCGCGCCATCGCTCTCGGATAGTCCACCATGCATGCTTTACCGTAACTCGCAGTGGTAACCCAGATTCAGTTCCTTTGAGTTTTTCCATCTATGACTGACTTCATCAACTTTTTTTCTTCCGACAGAGATTAAATGCTGTGCACCAATTCATTCAGAGAACCTGCACTTAATCGGCCGAAGGTGTCGCATTTCGGAGAGGATCACCGTGCCATCCTTTGCCTCCTCCTAATAAAGTATATGTCACATTAATTGGGAGGTCTCGCATGCTGCACTTCGTTGTCTAATTCACTCTCAGTAAACGGCCGGGGTAATGGAAGTGTCTCGGAGATACTCTGAAATAAGACCCACCCCAGCAACGATTAATCACCTTGATTTATTATTTCACATTTACTTTCATTTCTAAACTGTCCTTTATGTTATTTATTTGCTTTACTTTACTCATGATTTATATCGCGGCTTCGATCTCCGCGAAGTTTTTGTTCACCATCCAAGCATTCTGCGACTCATATTATTTATTTCTTCATATTGTTGCTAAACGCGTCGACAAACATGTGCTCATAAAGTGAGAAACGAGAAAATAAAATTGAAAATAATAATTCACTCAAATTTCAATTGCTAACGCCCCATACCTTCACTGTCGCCGTAAACGATGTAAATTCGTGTGCAGAGTGGCGGCAAACTGCCAGCCTCCCTCTGTGGCTGCATGCTTTTCCTTCGGACGCTTCCTCCACGGAACATCTCACTCCACGAACGGGGGCGGGGGGGTGAGGCCCATCAGCGCCAGCGGTCAAGTATCCATCAGCTCCCACTCTCAACCTGAAAACGTTCGCAATTTCCCACAGTGATCCAAGACACCTGCTGCCAAATCGGCGCATGAAGGCGACAGAGCTAAAGCTGAAGAAGGAGAGAGATAGGATCCTAGCGCACAAGAGCATTCAGGTGAATCCCATGGTGTAGTATGTGGAGTTTGTGATCGGCGCCACAGCCATTGTTGCACGTGCCACAATTCGCGCGATAGTTTGACTGACCTTCTCGCAGCTTGATCACTCTAGGCATACATGAGCTCTGAATATGCTATGGAAGAGAACAGCAAGAGGGAAAGATCAACGGTCGCGACCTAATTTCTGACCGAGGCCGAGGACCCTTCGACGAAGCTCGAAACAGAAAAATACCTTTCCCCTGAATTTAAGAACCATTCGTAAAATGGACGTCAGTTTGGCTCCCGTCGAATTTTGCATTTTTCCTGTTTCGTTAGTCATTATGAAAGCCAGTCGTTACCCCGCGAGACCAATAATGTTAGAAGCACGAAATTTGATCGTTCAAAATCGACAACGAAGCCATCGCCAGAAGTGGGTGGATGGCGGAGTGAGTAAATTCCTCTGAATTCCTGACGCCCCACCCACGTGGGATTCTTCTACACGAATGCGTCCGCGTCCTTGGCTGGCTCCATAGCGCTGCGCCGTGCCTTGTGAGTTCTTCCACCGCTGCCACCATGCTCACCAATTCAGAATAAGTCACAGTAATGAAGACAGTGGCTGCCGACGTCTGGCCCTACCAGCGCCGAAGAATATAGGAAGCTTCGACCACGACGGCACACGAATATTGCTCTTATTTTGCGCAGGCGCCGAGCAAATGGTCAGAATATTTGAAAAAACCACAGTACCATTGGCCGTGGGAGGGTTGCGAACTGAACATACTTTGTAGATCCCAATCTTCAACTTTGACTCGTTTGAGGCCTATCTTTAGGATAAGGCAAGCAGCGATATCACGAGCACCCTAACTCCTCACAACAGTGACAAAAGGCTTTGAGGCAATGGAAGAGAGTCTAAAAAAAGTGTGGGTAACGCATGAGAACAGTTATATGGACTCAATCTCGTTGTTTCGGTTGTAACACCTTTTAAGGGACTCGCGCAAAAACATTGGAGTGGAATGCACGGTGCTACCTCTTCTTCTTCGCCAAGTACCGTGCACCCAACCTTTTTTCCAGTTGGATTGGTACTGACGGTGTTTACCAAATAGTGGGTTATCTATCACTCAAGGCCTTCTCTCGATGGACATAGATGGAATAGCAGCAATCATGCCCATGGTTCAGGTCGGATCGTGGAGCAAATCCCGCCTAAACCAACCAAGCCTGGTACCCCTCCAGGGTCGGTTGAAAGATACCAGACTTGCGAGGAAACGTTAAGTTGTATATCGGCTAGCCGCTACTAGTCAACCCATTTCATTTAACAACCACCACCATTTTTTATAGAGCTAGAGGGTGTGGCGCATTCCCATGTTACTGTTGCTTGGCCAAAGTGAGAGGGTCTGTTAGTGAACGCTTTTTTCGAAGCTCAGCCTTCTTAGTGACACCTCTCGCCATCCCACCAAATGCGCCCATTCGAGAACGAGTACAGAGGCAAAAACCGTGTCCGTTCGGACAGACGGCAACATTTTCGTGGGTGACTGACGAACTTCCATGAGATCCTTTGAAAATGCGCACTAATAAATGTTTTCACGTCTTACGGGCAACTCTTAAACACCTGAAGAATTCAGAGGTGTCAGAAAAGGACTAGCATCGGTAACAAGGGGATGCACGCGAGGAGTAAGGGCGTGAACCCATGTTATTCTTCACCCGCGGAAATTATCAACATAAATATAAATAATCTCTGACAGCTTATGCAATGATCGAAGCACTGCGGCGACCAGCTGTCGCTATGAGACTCAACTAAATTCCATTCAAGTGCTACCCTCACTTCTTGGGCAACCTTCACACCCGGTGTCTCCGACCTTGGGTGCCTGCAAAGTGAGCGACGAACATCCGAGTGAACTTTCAAAATGGATCCTGCAAGCTGAGAGCGAGGTGTCGTTGCCGTGCGTGTTTTACACCCACCGCGCTCGCCCTCGTAGCCGCGCCACACAGCCAGCCAGTCGGGCTTTCCAGCAGTCAGTCTTAGGCAGCCAGCCAGCCCCCTCAGGCACTACCACGGCTGTTAACCCTCTCTCCACCGTAGAAGCAGCAACTAACTGCCGTCGCGGTGCCATTCGAACGATGCTGGCGAAATGCCGTCACAATGTCGCCGACGTCGGCCAACGCGTCAGCTCGACAATCTCCCAGGCCTTCTGGACGGTCGCCTACTTCTTCTACTTCCTTGTGAAGTGAGTTTTCTTATGGCTTTTCATTGAAATTTTGAGCTTTTTTTTACCGATGAAAAAAATGCGTTCCTGGTGAGGGGTGGTCCCACTCGAAGACAACTTTGAGCGTAATTCCGTAGTTCAGTTGCTGTAATGTTACGTAACCGAGTAGGTTTCACAGCCGCAGCAACGGCTAGCAACTCTCGACGTCAAAAACAACAGGAAGCACTGAATGGTTCGAGTGTAATCCCAGCGATGAGAATAGATCCCGTCGTGTGATCATTTAAACGAAGAAAAATCACGAAATGGGCCGTAGCGAGGCAAAGAGCAGTAGTAAAGATAAGAAAGCACGTAGTTCCCAATCTTAGAATCTCAAGCAGGTCCCACGGAGGTCAGAGAGCCATCTGACACCGAATACACTCCTTTTCACTCTAAAGAGTTCATTCTGCTTGGACAGAACCAAACTGGTGCTGGAAATTTGTCTTGGTCCTGCCGGAGGGAGGGCGATGGTCTTTTCAAGTTACCCGGCTTGTTTGCAAATTATCAGGATCTTTTCTTGATGTTGGCTATTTATTATTCATTTTTCACTCCAAAAATTGTTTATTGCTATTCACGAGGGTGGAGTCATTTCCATCAAAAGGTCTAACTATGCAATTACGACTTTTTCATCCTTGCAAAAGGGGTCGTTATAACAGCAAATTTTGGTCGCAATATACAGGGTGGTCCAAAATTATGAGGACCAAGACATTGTGTCGTTAAAAACGCATAGTAGCTTGATGGAACAAACAAACTTCAGGGAAGTGTTTGTAACTCTTATCTCAAAGTAATTCCAGAATAGAATTGAGATCTGCCACCTGCCCCGTTTACACGAGCCTTCAGATGAAGGGGGATGGCGCGTGCGGTGGCACGCAACTGAGGCGTGTCAAAATGTTTCCAGGCCTTCTGCTTCAC